AAACATGAGGCTGGTTACGATGCTTTCATGACAGGCTGCATTTTTGCTCAGTCATGCAAACATCTTGACATCGATTTCACTGATTCTCATTCTTTAAATTTAAATCTAAATCTAAATCTAATCAACAAAACAAGCTTCACAACTACATCAATCTTCTATACCTCAGCTGGAGCAGTGGAGACATAGTCAATTTAAATACCGCTCAAACCACAACAGAATCCTCAGTTTTTAAAATCCAACAACCCAAAATTCCGTTTCAAAACATCGCCTTAATATGGGGGTTCTCATCGAAACTCAAGGCAAGGGCAATAAAGGAAATTTTGTGTAAAGTTTTTGGGTTGACTTCCGTTACATCCGTCTACCATTTGGATAAGACTGCTGTGTTTGTCCAGTTTAGCAAGCCGGAACTGGTTTCTGAATTTTTGGAAATGAAATCGAGTTTAGAGAAGAAGAAGAATGATGCAATTTACGTTTTCCACCCTCTTTCACAGCTTCTAGAAGGCGGACGGACATGTGCTGCTTCTTATGAGGCTTACAAACAAAATCTGTGGATCGCCTGTTTCCAAAGTCTTGTTTGCTGATCAAGCTGAAGCAGTTGGTGTTAAGTTTGAGAACATAAAGGTTCAACAAAATGTTTGTTTTCATAATTTGGATACCAAAAAACAAATAGACTGTCAATCAGGTTTTCCTAAGGGAGAGATACTAGATGTTGTCTCCTGCTGAGACTCTTATAGGCAACCAACTAAGTTTGTGAAATCATGTATTTTTTTTTTTTTTTTTTTCTTTCTTAAAAAGAGATTAATGTTATTACCAGCTTTAATTTTTGTGGCAAATTTTAAAATATATGCCGCCTCGTTAGTTTCTCATATCCAACCAGGTTTGTATAAATAACCACCTAATTTTTTTTATTATTATTTTTTTTTTTAAATAAGCTACTTGTATCGTACCTTAGCAAAGTTCATTGAATTTATTCAATTTTGGTCTTTAATATCTATGTTCCATATCATCACAATCATATTTTAAAACACAACTATTTAAGAATTAAGAATTAAGAATTTTAAATTTAAAAATAACAGATATAATAATTAAAAAATACAATACTTAAAAATACACTTATTTAAAAACTATGAAACCTAAAGCATACAATATGTGAAAATACACTAATTAAAAAAAAGTTATCTACAATTATGTTTTATCTTAACCTCTTAACAACATTTATTTTGAATTTCTCATCCCAACTCCAAACTCTGACGTGGTGTTTGGATGCAAAAAGATGAATGTAATATTTCAATCAAAGTTAGTTTGTAACCAATTTGTGATTAATATATTTTTATTTTCACGAGTTTTTATTTTTAAACATTTCATTGGATTTATTGATTGAAAAAAATATGATAAATTATATAATACAATACCCAAAAAGATGGTATAATTTCACTTATGGTCTAATTAGAATAAAAAGAAAATCAAATACAAAAATAACACAAAATTAAATGTGACTATATTGATTTTTGGGTTGAAATTTAATTAAAACATAATAACATTAATTACCTCCAATTTCATTGAAGCATTCTATCGATCAACTCTCTCTCTTCGTGTCATCATCTACAATCCATTCAACTCCTATTCAATTATAATCAACATCTATTCAACTACTATGAAGCTCTATCACAAAGTAAAACATTCATATTTTGGTATTATTTTATATACATCTGGATTTTGTTATTCATATAAATAATCATTTGGCTCATCATATATCAAACATGTCAAGTAAAATTTGATTTCTCATCCCAAATACACCATTACGTTAATTGTGTTTTTTAGATGGAGTGAATTGTTGTCACTTTAGCAAACAAAATTATATCAAAATATTAGGTTGTTCTATATTTGATGACGATGTTTTATTTATTTTTTGTTTTTCAATGCCATATAATTATTCCTAAACAAACCTTCCAAATTAAGTATGAGTTTAAATATCTTTTTGTTAATTAAAGAAAACCTTATGTTGAAGTTATGTATATGATGACGTCTCTTAAAGCAGAAAATATAAGTTGACTTTTAAGCCAAAAATTTCACCACCGCGTAGGTCATCGACGACTAGCTAGATTAGATTGTGCCCTAATCAACACACACATGCATGCATGCACCCGCCCCCATGGAATTAAGCTAGCTTTTTGAAACAATGCATGATCGCACCTGATTCCATGGGTCAACCCACAACATATACACACACAGAGATGAGCCCTATATAACATCCAAAAGCTCCATGTTTTTATACAGAACATTAAAGCAGAATCAAGTCTCTTATTTATAAAGACCTTCTGATCTCTCTCTCTTCTCTATCAAATTCAAAACAATGTCGAAAATCATCAGAGTACTCTTCATGGTGATCGTTTCCATGGCCATAACCATCGTCCTCATCACTATCGCCTCTATCGGTGACAACCACGAAACCTCACTTCCCAAATCACTGGTGGTGAAACCGTTTCCGAAGAGGGTAAGTCGTTTCCTAGCGGAAAACAAAAACCCTAGAGCTGCTGCAGACCACTGCAAGAAAGATGACGAGATTTGCTACATCTTAGAAGGCAAAAACTCGACTTGCTGCAACAACAAGTGTATGGATTTGAGCGACGATAAACACAACTGTGGAGCATGCAAGAACAAGTGCAAGTTTACCAGCTCCTGTTGTGGAGGAGAGTGCGTGAATTTGGCTTATGACAAGCGGCATTGTGGGTCGTGTGGTAACAAGTGCATGCCTGGTGGTTATTGCATATATGGACTCTGCAATTACGCCTAACAAACACATTATTTCATTTTGATCGTTATTTTCATGCTGTCATCATTTATGTATTCACACATTCTTGTGTGAAAATGCTTATTGGAGCATCCAACTGAAGAGATAAGTTTATATATGTATTCACTGATTCTTCTTAGAACTGCTTGTTGTGTGATTTTTTTGAAAACATTAATAGATCAACTTGTTGAGTTGTGGAGTCTTATTGCTTCTAGACTTTTAGCTTTCAAGTGAGAGATTGGTGATTCTGATTTCGTGTCTGTCCCATATGCAGTTTAGAGTCGAATTGGAATACTTGGCAGTTTTAGGGTCGAAATCAATAATTTCTAGCTCCATATATAAAATCTTCATATAATCGTAGTATATCATTAATTAGTATGATTATTAGATTTAGTTATAGACTTATACATTATATATTCCATGCTGATTATATAATGAGATAATTACAGGCAATTCAATAATAAAACCATTATGATCATTCGATGATATAGATCATGCAAACCTCATAAACAGTAGCTTTTTTATGGAAAAACCAGCAAAAAATAGAAAGAGAACAAAAACACGAAAGAAAAAAGAACAAGGTAAAAAGGTACAAATAAGGGTGTTTTGCAAGAAACAACATGTGCTTTATAGACGACTTCTAGTTCTTAAGGGAAACTTTCAATTTGAAACATAAAAAGTTTTCTACTCTCTACTTCCAATATACGCAAACGATTCTTAACTGCATATAATATACAAGGTAACACGAATTGAACATGGCCGTTCGCTACACCTTTTTGGTTGCCAAAAAATAGCCACCCATTTACTCTTTTCCTCTTGTGATTATAATCAGCCGCTTAATTACATATATTAGCCAACACAATCTCCATTTAACAATAATCATGTCTCTCGTGCAGACGTGCAGTCGTGTTGTCTAAATCATAATTTTGTCTAGTTTAGTGATGTAATGTAACAATGGACACGAACCCCTTTGCATGGTAACTTACTCGATAGAATAAATATACTCATAAAATGACTTATAAATCCAACGAATTTTCCAAATGGTTCAAAAAACCTTAATTATGTTTTGTTTGTTTAAAAAAACCCAACCAACTTACCATTTTAATTGTCTAATTATGATCAACCGACTAATGAAAGTCAACGAATGACTTGACTTATTACATCTACTTAAATATTAAAAAAATAACTTGTAAGACCAACGAAGTTTCAAAACCGTTCAAAAAGCCCTAATCATATTTTGTCTGTTTAGAAACACCCAACAAACTTACATTTTTGTTCAATTCTCATTAGAGATTTAGGTTAAATGACATGACATTATATTTAATGACATGGAATAAACATATTATAATATTTCCCTTTATATATTGATTTAGAGTTTGAAGGAGAGAAAAACGAACGGCGTCTAGGTTCGATTTATATTGTAATGACTACTTCTTCTTCCTCTCAGTCGTTGATGTCCAGTTCAAGATCTATAAAAAAGATATTTGATGATGCAAACCCTTGTGGATGTGGACGTCTTTTTCGGATTTAGATATATAGAATGGAGGATCATCCAGAGAAAATTTTAGGGCTTGTTCGAACAGACGGTAAGTGCAGTTGAAAGCTTTATTTGTTTGGTTACTTCAAAAACAAGAATTTATTAAGATGAATATGATAAAGCTTTCAGTTACACTTACTCATCTGTTTGAACAAGCTCTTGACTTTTTCTCTAGATGATCATCCATTCTAGATATCCAAATTTGAGAAGGATGTCTACATCCAAAAGGTTTTATCAAATATCTTTTTTGTAGATAATGAACATCAACGATTAAGAGGATGAAGAAAAAGAAGTAGTCATTACAAGAGATTGAACACAAACATCATTCGTTTATCTCTTCTTCAAGCCCTAAATCGATATATAAAATGACAAATTCTAATTTGTTTATTCCATATCATTAAATTTAATGTCATGTCATTTGTTAACTGATTGTATACCAAATAAATCTAGCTACCTCTAATTGAAACTGATTTTTTGAACAGACAAAACATAATTGAAGTTTTTTGAACGGTTTCAAAACTCTGATGATCTTCCAAGTCATTTCCGTGATATTTAATTTCACATCATAAGCAATGTCATTCTTTAACTTTCATTAGTCAGTTGACCCTAATGAAAATTGAACAAATAGTTCGATTTTTTAGAAAAAAAGTTAAGTTTTTTGAATTTTTTTTTTAAACAGAAAAAACATAATTGAGTTTTTTTAACGTTTTGGAAGTCATTTTCCCTAATATACTCCATCGGTAATTAGATAATATTATTACTTGGCACATATCATTTATTGATCGAGTCAAATATTTGGTCTCGTTGAGAAGTTAATTAGCATATAAAACAGAAATTTAATTGTAGATTATAAATGCGCTTGTGTGTATATATATGTTACTACATACAATACTTGTGTAACCAGGCAGCATACATGCCTATGAACAATTAATTCATGCAAGTATCATCGATCGAGCACTGAAGAACCTCTCAAACACATGATGAGTTACATACGATTAAGATTAATTAATAATGCATTTTGATGATTAGGCGTAATTGCAAAGCCCGTAAATGCAATAACCACCAGGCATACACTTGTTGCCACACGACCCACAATGCCGCTTGTCATAAGCCAAATTCACACACTCCCCTCCACAACAGGAGCTCGTAAACTTGCACTTGTTCTTGCATGCTCCACAGTTGTGCTTATCCTCGCTCAAATCCATACACTTGTTGCTGCAACAAGTCGAGTTTTTACCTTCTAAGATGTAACAAATCTCATCGTCTTTCTTGCAGTGGTCTGCAGCTCGAGGATTATCGATCTTCTCAGCTAGAAAACGACTTACCCTTTTCGGAAGTGGTTTCACATACGGTGTCTCTGTAGTCATCATTAATGTTTCTTCATTGTTATCACCTGTGAAGGTGATGGTGATGGCGGCGGCCATGGCTATGGCTATGATGAAGAATATTACCTTCATAATCTTCATTGTTGAATGTTGAAACGAAGATATACAAGGAAGAGAAAGATCGATCAGATTGGAGTACTGTTTGAATTGAAGGTGTTTTGTTGTTAAGAGATTGATCAGGGAGGTGAGGTGAGGTGGGTCGTTGTAAGGTTTTGGAGGTTATATAGGGTGGCCGGAAACGGTGGGGGTTGACCGGCGGGGATCCAGGAGAAGGGCATGTGGTGGAGTAACGATGTGACTTCAATTCTTTAGTACTATTTGGAAAGGTTCATTAATTATGCATGGAAACTGCAAATGGAAGTTAACTTTTGTTCGATGACGAACCTCTGTAACTGATTAGTTTAAGAATAAAATTAGTGTCTATAAACCCTATTTAAGGAAGCATGCATATAGAAGTTAATTAGTCCTTAAGAAACGATATTCTGTGAATTAACTACTTGACCAATTTAACGAACATCTACGTTAAGTACTTGAAGTCAGTAATTAAAACTTGAAGACACGCGCAGTCGCATGCAAAACTTGCGTTGCATTATATCATACTAATAATACGTTATTATAATAATGTGAAAAAGAAATTTATTCTTAATCAATTGATTTCGTAATTTAAATGTTAAGGTTTAAGAAACTATATTAATTAACAATAAATAAAATAAAATATGGTTACTAGTTAATGCTTGGTGCCATGAAATCAGAGAAAAGAAGATAATTAATGTAAGGAACCATTTGTTTTGTCCGTAAATAGCTAGAGTTAACTATTTTCTAATATACAATTATAGTATTTAATTTATTAATTTCTACAATCGTGTTTTTTCATTCTACAATATCATATAGCGAGGTAGCGGATGCAAATCGTGGTGCATGGAAAATTAATTTATATATAACTATGTATAAGATTCGTGTATTAAATGTAAAACGTAAATATTAAGTATTGTTTAAATAAAATTTTAAATAAATACAAACGGAATAATGAATAAATAAATAATTCATTCTATACTAAAAAAAACTATTGAAATGTTTTAAATAAGTGTTGAATATCAATGTGTAAAAATTACATATTTTTTAAAATCACTTTCGAAATAAATACAATGAAAACGTGAACATTACTAGAATATTTGGTTTTAGCTACAAAATATTTCCTATGAAAATGTTTTGTAGGAAATATTCGTTGAATTTCCTGCAAACTTACGACAAAAGTATAATTCAACAAAATTCCTACAAATTTCCTACGGAAGTAAATACCCTAAATATTTCGTCGGAAAAGCATTGGAAGTTTCCTACAAAATACCAACGAAATATTAATTAATATTTAAAATTATAATATGTTGGAATTTCGTAGGAATTGTAATAGCATGAATCTAGAAATTGTTTCCCAAGTCCCTTACCTTTTCAACCTTCATTGCCCTTAAAGTGAAAACCTTGAACCCTAAGCCACCTTTAGTGTATTGTGAACTTCCTTGAGAGTTTTTGGTGATTCTTTAGAGTTTTGAAGAAGAATGGAGCTTGGGAAGAAGCAAGGACATGAGAAGAGCTTGTAGATCCAGAAGTTTGGCATCATTTTTGATCCATTTAATTTATAAAGCTTGAACATTGACCATTGCATGCTTAGATCTAGTTTTAGGGTAGAAAATGTCATCTTTTGGTCCCAAAGTTTGGATTCTTGGAGTTGAGCAACGTCAGACCATATGAGCTGTCATTTTGAGCTCTTGGAGGTGTTTTGAGTCATAAAAATCAGACCTTGATGCTTAAGCCTCGACCATGCAAGTATTAGGAACCATCCAAGGGTGCTTATGGACTTGATTCTTGTTTTGAGCCTCATTATTTTTTGCAAAAGCATAAAGTTTGCAACTTTATGGATTAGGACGTTCCTAGGGGCCTAGATCTAAGTTTTGGATGTTAGGTCTTAGGGGATTAAGTCATAGAAGTAAGAATGGGGTGGCAGCCCAGTACACCATCTGTACTCAAGTGTACGCTGCCGTACTGGGTCAACGCCTCGACTCCTGGTCAACACCAGTGTACGTTGGGCGTACAAGCCAAGTACGCCGCGCATACGCTATCTATGGGCTTCGAAGATTTGGGTCGTTAGGTGTTGGGCTTTAGACTTGAGTAAGTTAGGCCTTGGGCCCACCTGGGTGTAGCAAGTCATTTTGGGCCTAAGGCCATGTTTGGGGTCCTTGGGCCATATTGGGACTTAGAGGCCCTATGGTAGGCTTGGATGCCTTTTTGGTTTTTTGTGGAATTGGGCCTTGGAGAGAAGGAGGCCCAATAAGGAAAAGGCGAAGGAGCCTTTTTGCCTTAAGTCAAGGACTAGGGTTTTGGACCTTCGGGTTAGATTGTGACCTAATTTCTAATTAGGGTTTTTTGCTTGTGCGATAGGGAGAGGAGTTCGCGAGTTATCCACTGAGTGCGATTTGATACCCACAGTCTGAGGTGAGTCTTCCTTAGCAGTAGCCGTGGGTTGAAGGAACCAAGGTCGGCCCACTAGTTTGTGTTATAACGTGATGATTGTCTTTGTGATAATTTTCATTTATGTATGTATATACTTGACGACTCTGTGATTACTGTTATGATATTATGTGGTAGTGGTATGGGTGAAATAGACCTGGTATCTGGTTGAAATAGACTGTAGGGGTAGGCCATCACCCATATATGTTTGGCAGTATCCGGTTGAGATAGATCGAAGAGGTAGGCCAGCACCCATATATGCTTGACAATATCCGGTTGAGATAAACCGAAGGGGTAGGCTAGCACCCAGTATACTTGGTAGTGTGTTTGTGTAACATCCCAAAAACACAGTCTGAAAATTTCGTTTAATTTAATGATAAAACCATAGTCAATAAACCTCATATAGAAATCATAAGTAATGTATCACAAAATATTATAACAAACTGTCAAATATATCAGAGTATAAACATCCCAGGCTGAACAAATGGTGTGTGGACTGCAATCTTCCCGAGCTCCTCTTTTGAAAACTGAGTACCTGAAACCAAAACTGAAACTGTAAGCACGAAGCTTAGTGAGCTCCCCCAAACTACCACATACCATACAATAACATATAAACACATATTGGGCCTTGCCCACTGCATCGGGCCGAAGCCCGGAAACTGCATCGGACCGAAGCCCGGAAACTGCATCGGACCGAAGTCCGGAATTGACTGGGACCTTTTCCCTTACATCGGATCGAAGTCCGAAACTAACTGCATTGGACCGAAGTCCAGAACTGACTGGGACCTTGTCCCCTGCATCGGACCGAAGTCCGGAACTAACTGCATCGGACCGAAGTCCGAAACTGACTGGGCATAGCATAGCATAGCAGAACACATATCAAATAGCATAACACACATGATCATAAACTCATATACTGCATACTACGTCAGGTCGTAGCCCATAACACTTAACACATAAATCCTGTCCGAGCCACGAAGGCATCAAACAAGCTAACAACTGCATCGGATCAAAGTCCAGAAACTAATGCTACTAAATGGGCCGAAATTGTGGCCTTAGACCCGTTCCTACTGGAAGGAAACTCACCTTACACTGCTGAAGTCCCGTAGATATAATCCCACACTGCTGAAGTCTCGCAGACTCCACCCCAACTGCTGGCTAACAGATTTCTGAACTATCAACACCAAATAACACCCAATTAATAATTGGGTTCTAACACATAACTATAAATACATGCTTTGGACAATTATTAGATTACCCCTAGCTTGGCTTACCTAAGCCCAAGGCCCAATCCATAGGCCCAAGGTCAACTAGGGATCAAAGCCCAACATATGGCCCAATTTTCCAAATTGGGCCCAAACCTCTACATGGACTTCCCTTAAGGCCCAATTGTCCAGTCCAGTCTAACCTGTATCATTCTAGGGCCTAATATCGTACAACCATCTAGGACCCATCTATGGCACAATTTTCCAAATTGGGCCCAATCCTTCATATGGGCCTTACCCTAAAACCCAACTAATTACTCTAGTCCAATTGATTATTCTTAGATGGCCCAACACAAGGCCCAAGAGAAATTAGGGTTTCTTATAAAATGACAATTTGGGTTAAGTGTTTCTCACTTAACCCATTAAGGGCTCATTCCACTAAGGACTTAATCTGTTAAGGACTTAATCCATTAAGTCCATTACTGCTTAGATTAATCCTACCAATGATTATTATTTAATATTTCACTTATTAAATAATTCTTGTGTGTGTCTTGATAATTTCTCAATTATTAGGATTTTCTCAGTTATTAGCCCATTAAGGACTTAATCCATTAAGTCATTTACTCCACTAGATAGGTTATATGGAATAGTTGGGATCAATACACAATCCAATCCAGATGGCCCAAAAGTGGGCCTAATAAGTCTAAGGCCCAATACTCATAATTAGGGTTTTCCACCCAAACATGGCCCAAAACCAAAACTCTAAGCCCATTAGGGTTTTCTATCGGGGCAACACCCACTACCACCTCAGGTAGTGGTGGTCGATGGCAGCTCATGGCGGCGGCCACCACCTTACGGTGGTGGCTTCTATTAATTTTATTATTATCCAAATTAATTACAAATAAAATGTTTGATCAAAACATAACCACACACACACTAACACACTAACTAACATGCACACAACACACGCTACCACAGAAAACACACCCATACATTAGTCTTGCACGGAACAGGAGCACTCCCTCTCTTGGTGGCGTTTGGTAGCAGCTCCCGGCGACAGCCACCATGGTTGGCTGCCATGATGGTCTTCTATAACGCCTGTGTTTCCGGGCTTGCCATTTTTAGCAATGTAATGGTCTAGGTTAATCTTTGTAACCCGTTTTGAAATAATAAGATTGTATTATTTGAGTATTATGTGTTTTGAGCTTAATTGCTTAATTATGTGGTTTGATTAATTAAGAATAAAAATAAGCGTCAAAATTTAAGTATAAAATAAACTTGATATCTTTAGATAATGTTGTAGTAGTTGAAACAAGGTTTCCGGAGATATAAAGGACGCCGAAATCCGAGTTATAACGAGGAAGTTATGACCTG